CTTCATTCTCAGTCTCAAATCATTAAAATTTATCTTCTGAATCTCTCTTCTCTCTTCCCAACCTCGTCTCGGTGACGTAGAGTCATCTCTGCCTTGGCATATAAGGTGGTTGTGAAGATGAGATGACCTAATCGCCGATTTTTATGGTGACAAAGATTGAAGGATGTAGAATATTATATAATAAGAAGGAGGTGGCTTGCCCGCACATCTTGTGCGGGCTGTAATATACTACAAAAAAATCCAACATAATCATAAAATAAATATTGGTAATTTATCATAATAATATATTCAAACAATAGAGATATATTAGATATTATCGCATATTTAGAATTAAAAATAATAGAAATATATTGTAAAATTTCTTTCATAATTTAAAATTATCATATAACAGAAGCTAAAATAAAAACACACTAAAACTAAAATTAAATTTTCTCTTCAATGGTTTTCAGTTTCTAACTCGACATTTTTTTTTGAACACTTCCTTAGTACCCTGCAAAATATTTTAAAACAATTATTCAAAAATATAATCAAGAGATAAAACTCAAAGTCAATCGATAAACTTTCATAAATCTGAATTTGGTTACTTCTGTGAAGTGAGGGTTCACCATGATCACAGTGGGATGCGCAGAAGATATAACAACTTTTCCTAAATATAGATAATCGAAAGTCGTAAAATAAAACCATTGTTAACAACAACAAAAAATAAGAAATCTCGCAAACCTTCAAAGACATTAACGATTGCCCATCTTGTAATAAAAATCACTGTATCATCGGCACAGTTAAGCCAAGCAGCATGGAACTTGCGAGCGTCGCTGTTAAACATCTTGCATTTTATAAAAACGTTGCTGCATAAACGAAAGAATGTATGTCAAATGACAATAAATAAAACTCTAAGAAACAAATCATTAGTTACGACAATCGACCTTAGATTCCTCAATTCGTATGCGAGCATTGCATATTCATCAAAACCCTTATCAACACAGTGTTTGGTAAGAATTTCTAACTCTCCAACATTGACAACTTCTCCAATCAAATCTAAAAATATCCAATACTGAAACACTCAATATTTAAAATAAATTAAATTAATGTCAAAATCTACAGCAAACGAACATATAGACAGTAAATTAACATACCAACTGAAAAATATTCGGTAGGAATCTTGTTGAGAACCTGCTCAAAATATACGAATTTAAAGAAATTTCATTCACACTGATAATCTTGTCTCTTAACAACAGTGGGACTTACGATAAGCAAGTGAATACAATGAGGTGTAATTTTAAAGGGTGATCCACATCAATAACAACAATTTTTTTAATTGTAATCCAAACACCCTCGCATAACTGAGGAGAGAAACGATCGTAATCACCAGCGTAAACGGTCCCACAAATCGACTGAAACAATGCTTTGAGCATCCAGCTTTATTATTTCCTCTCCCCCTTGCGTTCTTTATGTTCTCTATCTATCTCTCGCTCTCTCTCTCTCCTTCTCCCTCTCTCTTTCTCTCCATCTAAATCTTGTTTCCGAAGTAGATCCTCTCTCTCTCTCTCTCTCTCTCTCTCTCTCTCTCTCTCTCTCTCTCTCTCTCTCTCTCTCTCTCTCTCTCTCTCTCTGATATTCTTCAAATAAAAATCTTAGTTTCAACCCATCCACTTAATCATTCAAGAAGACTCTAAAAGAAAAAGAACCTAACATATTATTCAAGATCAATTCACTCAAACAATGCTTTCAACATTGAGCTTTATTATTCCCTCTCTCCCTCTTCCTCTACTTTAAGTTCTCACCTACCTATTTCTCTCTCCCTCTCTCTCTTTCTCTCTCTCTCTCTCTCTCCCTCGCTTCCTCTCTCTCTCCCTTTTTCTCTCTCTCTCTCTCTCTCTCTCTCTCTCTCTCTCTCTCTCTCTCTCTCTCTCTCTCTCTCTCTCTCTGATACTCTTCAAATAAAAATCTTAGTTTCAACCCATCAACTTAATCATTCAAGAATACTCCAAAAAAAAGAAGAACCTAACATATTATTGAAGATCAATCGACTGAAACAATGCTTAGAGCATCCAGCTTTATTATTTCCTCTCTCCCTCTCGTTCTCTATGTCCACATCTATCTCTCACTCTTTCTCTCTCTCCTTCTCCCACTCTCTGCATGTCTCTATCTCTCTCTCTCTCTCTCTCTCTCTCTCTCTTTCTCTATGTCCTCCATCTAGCTCTTGCTCTTTCGCTCTCTCCTTCCCCATCTTGTTCTTGTTTTCGAAGTAGATCTTCAATCTTTATCTCTCTTGCTTGTTCTTAATAAGCAACACATACAACCTAATAAGGGTAAGGCTAGAAAACATAATATATTTTAGAACTCAAATATAAAGAACCTAACATATTATTCAAGATCAATCGACTGAAACAATGCTTTGAGCATCCAGCTGTTTTATTTCCTCTCTCCCTCTCATTCTCTATGTCCTCCATCTATCTCTCGCACTTTCTCTCTTTCCTTCTCTCCCTCTTGTTCTTGTTTTCGAAGTAGATCTTCTCTCTCTCTCTCTCTCTCTCTCTCTCTCTCTCTCTCTCTCTCTCTCTCTCTCTCTCTGATATTCGTTAAATAAAAATTTCAGTTTCAACCCATTAACATAATCATTCAAGAAGAATCCAAAAGAAAAAGAACCTAGCATATTATTCAAGATCAATCGACTGAAACAATGCTTTGAGCATCCAGCTGTATTATTTCCTCTCTCCCGCTCGTTCTTTATGTCCTCCATCTATCTCTCGCTCTTTCTCTCTCTCCTTCTCCCTCTTGTTCTTGTTTTCGGAGTAGATCTTCTCTCTCTCTCTCTCACTCTCTCTCTCTCTCTCTGATACTCTTCAAATAAAAATCTTAGTTTCAACCCATCAACTTAATCATTCAAGAATACTCCAAAAAAAAGAAGAACCTAACATATTATTGAAGATCAATCGACTGAAACAATGCTTAGAGCATCCAGCTTTGTTATTTCCTCTCTCCCTCTCGTTCTCTATGTCCACATCTATCTCTCACTCTTTCTCTCTCTCCTTCTCCCACTCTCTGCATGTCTCTATCTCTCTCTCTCTCTCTCTCTCTCTCTCTTTCTCTATGTCCTCCATCTAGCTCTTGCTCTTTCGCTCTCTCCTTCCCCATCTTGTTCTTGTTTTCGAAGTAGATCTTCAATCTTTATCTCTCTTGCTTGTTCTTAATAAGCAACACATACAACCTAATAAGGGTAAGGCTAGAAAACATAATATATTTTAGAACTCAAATATAAAGAACCTAACATATTATTCAAGATCAATCGACTGAAACAATGCTTTGAGCATCCAGCTGTTTTATTTCCTCTCTCCCTCTCATTCTCTATGTCCTCCATCTATCTCTCGCACTTTCTCTCTTTCCTTCTCTCCCTCTTGTTCTTGTTTTCGAAGTAGATCTTCTCTCTCTCTCTCTCTCTCTCTCTCTCTCTCTCTCTCTCTCTCTCTCTCTGATATTCGTTAAATAAAAATTTCAGTTTCAACCCATTAACATAATCATTCAAGAAGAATCCAAAAGAAAAAGAACCTAGCATATTATTCAAGATCAATCGACTGAAACAATGCTTTGAGCATCCAGCTGTATTATTTCCTCTCTCCCGCTCGTTCTTTATGTCCTCCATCTATCTCTCGCTCTTTCTCTCTCTCCTTCTCCCTCTTGTTCTTGTTTTCGGAGTAGATCTTCTCTCTCTCTCTCTCACTCTCTCTCTCTCTCTCTGATATTCTTCAAATAAAAATCTTACTTTCAACCCATCAACTTAATCATTCAAGAATACTCCAAAAAAAGAAGAACCTAACATATTATTCAAGATCAATCGATTGAAACAATGCTTAGAGCATCCAGCTTTATTATTTCCTCTCTCCCTCTCGTTCTCTATGCCTCCATCTATCTCTCGCTCTTTCTCTCTCTCCTTCTCCCACTCTCTTTTTCTCCTTCTTGTTCTTGTTTTCGAAGTAGATCTTCTCTCTCTCTACCTAAACGGTCATGGTGTATGTGTTGAGACTCTCGGAGATAAGAAACTGGGGATTCTTGGTTATATTTTTCTAATTGATTATCAATCGTACCATGGATATTTTGGAAAGACGATGTCTGGTTATGTTTCTTAGTTTGGAGGATTTATTATATTTAGTTTCATGATGGCCACGAGTCTCGGTTTTGTATTTTAGATTGTGTATAAACTTATAAATACTTTTACGATGGTCACGGGCTTCAGTTTTGTAATTAGGTGGGTTTGGAATGCGTAACACAAAATTAGGCTTATGAATTATAGCTATAACAAAATAAATTAAACAATAAATAGACATATAGCAAACAAACTAAGCATAGAAAATAAAAACATAGCAATTATAAACCGAAATCATAAACTTTCTTCTTTCATATAATCAAGTCCTCATATAATCATAATGATCATAATTGCAATCCTCCTTCCTCTGTCTCCTTTCTTTCTACTCTCTCTCTCTCTCTCATATCTTCTTCAAATAAAAATCTTAGTTTCAACCCACCTACTTAATCACTCAAGAAGACTCAAAAAAAGAACCTAACATATTATTCAAGATCAATCGACTGAAACAGTGCTTTGAACATCGAATTTTATTATTTACTCTCTCACTCTTTCTCTTCTTTAAATTCTCTCCTACCTATTTCTCTCTTCCTTATTAAAAAATACACATCATTAAATTAGGCTTATGAACTATAGCTATAACAAAATAAATTAAACAATAAATAGACACATAAGAAAAAAACTAAGCATAGAAAAAAAAATATAACAATTCTGAACAGAATCATAAACTTTCTTCTTTTGTATAATCAGGTATATATATTAATACTAAAGAGATCTTTATACACTTGAACTCCTTTGTTATTTATCTCTTCATAATTTTTAGGCTACACCAACGTACTCACATATAAATTACTCATTCGACCCATTAAAAATATGGAATGCAATATCTTCCAGATTCATACAGATTTTTACAAAAACAGGGAGTATCTTATATCAAATTTTTTTCCTAAAACACTTAAAGCAGCAATTTTAAACTCCATTATAAATTCAAAAAACGAAAGTCATTAAGCTGAGAAAATTAAGCGTTCAGATTCCTACACACACATTCACATTTGTTTTTTTTTTTTACGAAAAGCACACATTCACATTTTGATTCCTGAAAACAAAACCTAAAATTCAAAGAGTTTCGTTGGAGATGGTGAATTGAACTAGAGCGTTCAACCCAGAAAAAAAAAACATAAGATTGATCTAGATCATCTTAATCGTGAAGTATTCATCACAAAATCAAATAGCAAGAGCAGGACACATGACTAATTTCTTTGGAGCCATCTTCGTCCTTATTGGTGTCACCGACATTGCAATTCAACCTGCAATAACAGTGAAGTGCTGAATAAGAAAGATAATAAGTAAAAGAGAGAGTTTGTGTTACGTCAGAGATGGAACCAAACAGAGATTGTCTCAATTCAATCTTGTATGTGAATCAGTCATTTAGCCATAGCTTTTAAAACCTCCACCAAGTGCGACAATTGCCTATACAGAGACACATATTGAATCCTAAAATGGAGATAAATGCGAAATCGACTCAAGATCTTCCTTTTTTATTGTTTCATATGTTCACAAATTAAGGCTTATCAGATACCACACATACAAAAAATACACAAAAAGATTAGATCTGTCAAAACAAATAGCCTTTCCGGCAATGCTTTTGAAAGGCTACTTTTAGAGACTAAAAGATTACTTTTGTACATACAAACACACTATAGATTACCTATTGGTAAATAATTACCCAACACAGGAAACAATTATCTTAATAATTAAGAAGAAGAACTCATCCACGTTTAATAAAAAGAAGAATCAACGAAATGATTAGATCTGTTAAAACATACAAAAACTAAAATAACCTTACGATCCTCATCAATCGGTACTCTGTCTGACTAAAAGGTGATAGTGATCAAATAATTGAAGTATCAAATCATTCCTTCGAGAACATGATGAAAGATAAAATTTATAACAAATATAATAGAGTTGATCATACCAAAAAACAGGCTTCCAAGTTTGTGTCATCATCGTCCCTAATTTTTGATAATTATTATAACTATTCTTCTTTCTGAGTGTATTCTAAGCACAAAAAAAAGATCAAACACAGATTAAGATTCATATGAAATTAGAGAGAAAAAAGAACAACGAAGAGATATATCATAGTATGAAGAACACAAACTTAAAAGCAGTAAATAAATTTGAAGTACTTATAAGAATGGTATGGTCAAGGAAGATAATGATTTGGCCCTTCATAAATAAGAAGATGATACATCACTGTGGCAACAACACAAAAACTCTTGCCCTGCCAAGAAAGCCAAAACAGAATAATACACAGAAAAGAAAGAAAAAAACGGAGAGGATCTTGCGTTTCAGGCCTACACCCAATCTGAGTTCCATCTCTCTATCTCTCTCTGGCGTTCCGTTCTATATAAGCAAAACTTTTAGTGTTTTGCAAAGATCCAATTTTATTCCAGACAGGTCAATAGAGGGATGTGTCGTGTTCACCCTCATCTATATCAAAAAGAGAAGCAGAGGATTTCGATTCTTACCAGTAAAGTGAACATCATGCCGTCAGAAAAATTGATCCTTTTTCGGTGGTTGCGCAACTTTCTGATCTGAAGAAAATAATAGAATCAATTAAATTAAATACAACTCTAGACAAATAATAACAACAACTGATGTAAAATTTACCTTTTTGTCATCTCCACACATATGCGCTTGAGGTCCCATCTCAAAACAAAACACGAAATGAATAGCAAAACCCTAGCATCCTCAAAATTAAGATTTATGTGTAAAATTAAAGAGAATTTATACTCATAATTAGAGACTAAAAAATCAGCCTCATACCAAATACAACAACAAAAATAAACAAAATCATCATGTGCATGAAGAAAAATTAAACCTAGACGAAGATTTACCTAGAAGATGATGAATTTGTCTCGTTTTTTTCATTGTCTCGCTTGCGTTAAATCCGTGCCTACTATCCCATGTGCCAAAACATCTAGAACACCAACTATCGCCTACACAAACATCAAAAACATATTAGAAAACACTAATCCAATCAAACAAACAAAAAACTCGACTAAAACCAATAGGGAGAGCCGAGAGGTACCGTGATACACCATCAATTGAAGATATACCCAATAATAAATTTAGAATATATCAAAATCGGAATATATCCAAATATAAAAAATAAATATATGAAATTTTGGAAAATGTTAGAATAGATTAGCTATTTCTTCATTAAAAGTACTTAGGTAATGTTTAGTGAGATTGAATAAGAGAGCTTTATTCTTCAAAATCACTTCGCAAATAATATTTTAGATATAATATTGAATTATTGTGTTGTTTATACAAAATAATGTATATATATAGTGATTAATAATGATATATTGCTAACTAAATTTTCCCAATTTAAATTGAACATTATTTAATATAACGTTTTGCTCTTCAAATTTTTCCAGTTAGTTTTGATGGGTTTTACAGGCTTCACTTCATAGACGGTCTATAAAATACACATCTTACTTCCCAAGTTACATCAATACTCCCTCGCACGACAAACGTGGTATGAGAAATCATCGAGCAGAACATGTATGTCATGGACATCATATCAAGGACGGACATACAAATCAACAGACTTCAATCTTCATAGGGATAGAAATTCAACTCATCTTTGATCTTAAAAGAAATGGAATAATAACATCAAATGGTGCAAACTTCTGCAACTCCACAAATAATTGTCCTTATCACGAACATAGAACCATACCAACGTTAACATCCACCATAAGCAGTAATCAATAATTATATGTAGTTCATAAAAAATGTTCACATACTATACAAATAAAAAACTAAATTATCAAAAAAATATAAGTTTTAATATATATATATATATATATATATTTTAGTAAAATTGTTAATCAGTTTATTTTTTAGAAATAAAATGTTCAACTAGTGAATAAAATAACCAATTCACTCAATATTTTAATAGTATACTTTAGCAAAGATAACATAAGCAAATCACTTATTTTTTATGTAACATAATGTTGTAATCAAATCACTAATTTTTATGTAACATAATATTACAATGAGATGTTCAAAAACCTTAGAATATCAATTGATTTTGATTTCCTTTTCGCGCATGGTTCTCCATTGTTTGCTGCCAAGCTCGACTTCAAAATCGAGTGGCGACTAAAGGTACCCACATCACATCAGGAACCTCCTTGAACATCAAAAGTTCCTTGGTGGTATTAAGCCAATCAAGAAATTACTCAGGTTCTAGATGGCCATTGAACTCAGAGAGTTTGAGTTTGAACCTTGTTTCCAGCGTTGGTTATCAGAGCGTGGTGCCACAAGTGCATCATGTTGAAGTTATTTACGCATCCCCGCAAAAGGGTTCTCTTGACCGTTGTCTCCATCATCATTGTAAGCCGCAAAAACCTGTTTATTTATCGCGAGGTAAAACCATTGCACAAGGTGGAGTTTGAAGAGCTGTTTGAAAAGATGACTCAACGGTGGTTCGTACCATGTTCTGTAAGTCCTGATCAAAGCCAGTAAGGTCTCTTCGAAACATCTCGTCATGATCATCGAGTGTTTTCTGCGGAGTCTTCTTGGGAGGCATGATTTTGTATAGTTAGTAGATGAATCAAAGCTCAGAGAGCTCACGAAGAAGATGAGTCAAAGAAGAATTTGTTATTAGTTTCGTTAACCTTGCAATTAATCACCCGAGAGTCTTTATATACAAGTGAATGAACCACATTAATAAACCGTATCAGTTAACCAGCCATAACCGGTCAATCTCATATATCTAATACGCCTCCCTCAAGTCTTTAGCTGAGAATCCGGAAGATAAAGACTTGACAAAGACATTCGCTTCAGCAGAGAATGAAATGGACCAGGATGAAGAGGTTTGGTAAGAATATCAGCTAACTGAATACCAGTAGGAACATGAAGAGCAAGAAGTTTGCCTGCCTTGATCTGATCACGAACGGTGTGGCAATCAATCTCGATGTGCTTCGTGCGCTCATGAAAAACCGGATTTGTAGCAATGTGAATGGCTGAATTGTTATCACAGAACAGCTTAGCGGGAGATGTGACCGTGATATGAAGATCATGAAGAAGTTGTTGCAACCATATCAGTTCACAAGTCGCCAAAGCGAGACTCCGATACTCTACCTCCGTACTGCTACGACTCACCACCGATTGTTTCTTGGACTTCCATGAGATGAGAGAAGTACCAAGATAGATACAATAACCAGTAACCGACCTTCTGGTGTCTTTACAAGTCGCCCAGTCAGCATCAGCAAATCCATTCAGACATAATTTTGTATCAGCAAAGTACATAAGACCTTGTCCAGGATTGTTCTTGATATACCTGAGAATCTTATGAGCCGCTTGTAGATGAACATCCGTTGGAGAAGAGAGAAACTAACTCAGCTGATGAACAGCAAATGTGATATCCGGTCTCGTAATGGTGAGATAAAGCAATCTTCCAATCAGTTCTCTGTAATTAGTAGCATTAGGTAAAGCAACCCCAAGATCCTTTGTGAGATGTAGCGATGGATCCATTGGGACAGAACTTGGTTTACAACCTAATAAACCAGCATCCTCCAACAAATTCATAGCATACTTGCGCTGACAAATGGAAATACCAGCTGATGATCGAGCAATCTCCAATCCTAAAAAGAAACGTGCAGGACCCAGATCCTTGATCTTAAACTCAGACTGGAGAAGAGTTTTAAACTATCAACAGCAGCCTCACTATTGCTCGCGATCATTATATCATCCACATAAACCAATACTGCAATAAACGAGGAAGAAGACACTCACACAAAGAGAGTATTGTCTGCAGGGGACTGAAGATAATTTGCACCCATAAGAACAGAAGAGAGGCGCTTATACCATTACCGAGAGGCCTGTTTCAATCCATATAGCGATTTAAGAAGGCGGCACACAGGATTCAGGGGTAATGTAGTACCTGCGGCAGGAGTGTAGCCTTGAGGAAGACTCATATAAATCTCTTCGTCAAGGTCTCCATGGAGAAAAGCATTCGAAACATCTATTTGTGTGAGACTCCATCCTTTCGCAGAAGCAAGACCAAGCATCAACTTCACACTAGTCAGTTTAGCAACGGGAGAGAAAGTATCAAGATTATCAACTCCTTCATGTTGTGTAAAGCCTTGAGCAACTAAGCGCGCCTTGTACCTCTCGACACTGCCGTGAAAACCCACTTGCAGCCAACAACATTCTTATTCGGGGGAAGAGATTCAATATCCCAAGTGTGTTGAACCTGAAGAGTTTGAAGTTCTACATTCACAGCTGAGTTCCATTTCTCAGATGTCATGGCCTGTTTGAAAGTCTTCGAATCTCAACGTTATAGGCAAGGATATAGGACTGAAACACAGGGCTAAGTTTGTCAAAAGAAATAACGGAAGAGATCGGGTACGGGGTGGTATGAGAAGGAAGGGGACTATAAGAAGAAAAAGGGAGAAGGTTACAATGGTACTCAGAAAGATAAGGAGGAACCTGAGTTATGCGTTTTGGCCTAGCATTAGAAATAGAGCTAGAACCGGTTTCACGTATCACTGGTAAAGATCTGGTACTAGGTCGTGTGCGTGTATGCATGGGAACAATATGATCGGATGCAGATGAGGATGCTTGAACAGAAGAAGAAACAGGAACAGTGCCAGATGACGATGCATGAGCGGATGATAATGCAGGGGCAGAAGCAGATATATGAGCGGATGATAATGCAGGAGTGGATACAGATGTAGATGTATGAGCAGATGATGATGCAGGTGCAGACTCAGAAGCTAGAGTAGAAGAAAGAGAAGAATCAAATGTAGGCATGGTTTCGACAAAATGCAAAGGAGCAGGTAATGGTAAAATGGTGTTAGGAAACATGTCAACAGCATCAGCCAAAAACTCACTAGTTTTGAAAGAAAAAATATTTTCATGAAAAACCATATTTTGGGAAATGGAAACAGAATGAGATTGCAAATCCAAGATTTTATAACCTTTGTAACCAACAGGATAACCAAAAAAAACACACGGCAAATCCCTTGGAGAAAATTTGTTACGATCTTTCAACAAAGTCGAAGCATAACATAAAGAACCAGATGATTTCAACGGTCTATAATCCGGAACCTTTCCTAGAAGAAGTTCAAATAGAGAACGATGTTTAAGCAAGGGAGATGGTAACCTATTGATCAAGAATACAGCCGTGATGATGCAATCAGTCCAGTAAGGCAAAGGAATATTCGATTGAAATAATAAGGACCTAGCTACATTTCAACAAGTGCTGATGCTTGCGCTCTACTACAGAATTTTGCTGAGGAGTATATGCACAAGAAAAGTGATGAAGAATACCTTGTTCTTTGAGTAAAGACGTAAATGCGAGTTCAGGAGCGAAATTTCTACGAATCAGAGTGAAATCGCGAAAAGAAAATGAAGAAATGTGTGGTGAAAGTGATAAAAGAATAGAGAAACTCGCACACACAAAGGTCAATCAAAGAGAAACAAAAAGAATCAGAACGGAAAAGCAAGTAACGATTCCGACGATGAAATCCCCAATAATGGCGAGAACAAATTGAAGAAACCGGAACGAAACTGGAATCGCACAACTCATCTTCAACAAATTTTGAAGAACGCGGAAGATTTGAGAAGCTTTGATACCATATAGAATGTAGATGAATCAAAGCTCAGAGAGCTCATGAAGAAGATGAGTCAAAGAAGAATTTGTTATTAGTTTCATTAACCTTACAATTAATCACCCGAGAGTCTTTATATACAAGTGAATGAACCACATTAATAAACCGTATCAGTTAACCAGCCATAACCAGTCAATCCCATATATCTAATATTTTGGATCAAAAAATCTCTAATACAAACTATTGTAGTGGGATATTAAAAGGCCGTCGAAAATCAATAAATTTTGATTGTTTTTGTTGCTTAGATTTCAAGTTATTATATAGAAAAAACAAAGAGATGCAAAGACTTAGGTTTAGATAAGTATTCTCTTTATAAATTCAATAACCAATTATTAAAAAAACTAATACAATGCCTTAAATAGAGGATTTTAACCCTAGTAATAAAGTAAATAATAATAAATAGAAGTTAACATAAGTACTAAAAATTCAAATATAAAAGAAAATCAACTTAAAAACCCAAACACCTAAAAGCCCAAAGCACGTTACACATTGGAATCTGTGCACGTTGCAAATTTCACATTAACATATGCTGCACGTTGCACGGTGCACGCTATTATCTACAGAAGTTTCTACGCTATATCAGGTCTCCTGTGGTAAAGAAACATTTATACCCAAATTTTCTTCATTCTCAAATTCCATAAAAGGCACCTAATGCTTCACAATGAACACATCGACATTGTAATTGTTGGAAGAAGACGAAGCCGATATGTATTACAATTTATCTTCTTTAAAACCTCGAGCGGACCAATTTTGAGAGCCTTCAACTTGTTATATGTGTTCGCAGGAAAACGATCCTTGGTAATAACCACCTAGACTTTGTCACTAACCTGAAACTGAAGATCGCAACGGTGATGATTAATATCTTGCTTTTACTTTGTTGTAGCACGCTCAAAGTTAGTACAATTTGCGAGTGGTGAT